TTCTGGCGATGTTTCCGTTTGTGGAATTGAAGGACTTGTTACTGGCGATGTCTCTGTTTGTTGAATAGTGGGACTTGTTTCTGGTGATGTCTCTGTTTGTTGAATAGTGGGACTTGTTTCTGGTGATGTCTCTGTTTGTTGACTTGTGGGACTTGTTTCTGGTGATGTCTCTGTTTGTTGAATTGTGGGACTTGTTTCTGGTGATGTCTCTGTTTGATGACTTGTGGGACTTGTTTCTGGCGATGTTTCTGTTTGTTGACTTGTGGGACTTGTTTCTGGTGATGTCTCTGTTTGTTGAATAGTGGGACTTGCTTCTGGTGATGTCTCTGTTTGTTGACTTGTGGGACTTGTTTCTGGCGATGTTTCTGTTTGTTGACTTGTGGGACTTGTTTCTGGTGATGTCTCTGTTTGTTGAATCGTGGGACTTGTTTCTGGTGATGTCTCTGTTTGTTGAATTGTGGGACTTGTTTCTGGGGAAGATTGCTGTAAAGTTGTAGAAACAATGTCTGTTGAATGATACGATTTTTCGGAAGAAGTCTTTTTTATTTCTAAAATTAAAAAAAATGAAACTAATTTAAACAATAGATTATGTTGTTTAATATGGTAAAAGGTTATATAGCTCTTAAAGGTACCGCTTTTTAAATAATTTGTTTGCACCCTCTACAATTTACTTTTAACTACTAAGGGGGGGGGGGGGGTTGTGTGTTTCTATCCCAATAATGTAAGTCATTTTTTAGAAGTATTCTTTGAAATACACAAACAAATCTACGAAAAATCAAATACATGGACAGTAAACAGTAAGTGCCTTTAAATCGTGTATTAATAATTCAGGTATGGTGTTAATGTTAAATGCAAAAATTCAATTTTAGTTGTAACATGTCATTTGATTGGGTAAAAGATTTGATCCATTTTTTATAACAAAACTTGCCTACGTCACAATGAGTTTCGTTAAAAACGTATTACTCCGCTTGACGTTTTCTTTAAAATATGCTAAATATGAAGTCTTTTTCCCGAGGAAAAATTGTCTCATTGTCTACACTGAATGAAGTATATTTCAACTTATGCTATACGATATAACATAAATTGAGGTAGTTTACGCATTTTTATAAACCGCTTCGCATGTAAACGATGTTCTCATATAAAACAAGTTCCCCTATTTTCATCATGTTAAATCAACTCTCGAGTATATTGTTTTCCTAGATGGAAGAGAGTATTTTCCTACCCCAGAATGCTCTCTAATGTCATAGACTCTAACACAAACCCCATCAGCAAGACCCCCCCCTACCCACCCCCACACCCTCACCCTTACTCACATAAACAAACAAGCAAACAAAATAATATTTCCAGTTTAGACAGATATGTTTCCTTCATATTATCCCTTTTTGCTGCTCTTTCCAGTCAATACAAAGAAGTAAACACCTTCGAAGTACAATATTCAACTTTACCTTTTTTGAGTTCGGTGAATATATTACCTCTCAGGGTAATTCAGAGTAATGACTTCATAAATAATAGTCTAAAAGAATACATATATAAATATTTTTTTCAAAAATCACAAATATATCCTTGTTTTTTTTTACAGGTGGCATTTGGAGATTTTGTTTTGGGAAACCTCTCTACACTGCACACTAAAGAGTTCTGATTCTATGGTTTTTTTCTGCAGTTAGAGTGATCTGTCCTTGGATCTAAATTCTCAAATAGAAATTTACAGTGTATTACTCAATTTGTAATCCATTCAAGCATTCTTGACATTTCAAAAGGCCAAGATAAAATAATTGTTGTTTTCATGTACCAGGTATTACCTGTATTGAAGTGAACGACAGTGAATTCTATTCCCTGATACTGTGTTGTATTTGAAAATTTTTCCTGGGGTAAATGCTAGGTACTTTATAGTGGAAATTAAATAGCTAAGCTCAATATTAACACCTTAATACAATATTTTTCTCAATTTCTCAATAATCAAAACAATTTTTTACTCTGGTATAGAGAGGGCCTTTAAAAACAAATTAAACAAAAATATCTTTTTTAAGTGTTAGGAAGAATGCCCTGACCAATACTTATTTCTCAATTAGAAACAGGCTGCATTCCTAACTATATTTATGTTAAGCTTCAAAATAATTTTGCCTTGTTAATATTTTGTAAAGTGTTCTATCCATAACTCATAATAGTACCTTGACAAGTTTCTTTGTAATCAACACAACAATCTCGATTTTGCAAGCAAAAATTATCACAATAACACAGTCCTGAAGAGTTTTTGAACATCAATGGACCTGTTGTGGAACATGAGCCTTTTTTTCCTGGACAGCACATCCCTGCAGCTGCACATGGTGACGCTAAAAATATGAAATATTACTTATTTATTCCGCTTTAATTTGTATATATGCGTGTATCGAAAACACCATGAACAACTCTGAAAGCATAAATAGACAATTTGAAAGACTTACTTGTTATTGATGTCGATATTCTCGCAGAAAATCCTGTCAAAATTGTAATTTAACAATTAAAAACGCACAATCCTATGGAATGCCAATGAATTTTTATTGTTAACGAAGTAATTATAATTGTATAAAAATTAGGAAATATATACAAAAACAAATAATTTTAAAAACAACTTTTGTTAATAAAAACGAAACTCGTTAATTTACTTACCTTGTCATTTGTCATTTGCATTTTTTTTTTCGGACAAGTACATGAAGATTATAATCAAAGATGCTTAGACATAGTATTGGTGTGAATATTTTCTCAAATTTTCTGTTTAATTTCATGATAACATGTACGTATATGTTTCTAAAGCATTTTTTGTGGAAGTTACTGTAAACGTATTACATTTGGCTGTGCATTCTTTTTAGCGCTTTTAGCGGAAAGACACAAAAAATGGGTAGCAACTATTCCTTCGCCATACGCTCGGCACTTTGAAGTGAAAGTTGCGGGTCCTTCGGATGAGACCTTAAAAACCGAGGCCCCGTGGCAGGCGTTGGCACGATAAAGATCTCTCACTGCTCAATGGCCCTGAGTGCCGAGAAAAGGTCAAAATTTGAAGCCCTTCACCGGCATTCGGTGACGTCTCTATATGAGTGAAAAATTTTCGAGAGGGACGTTAAACAATAGGCAATCAATCAATCAATCAAAACTAAATTTCCATCAAATATGGTACACGCTAAATATAATACATTTACAGTATTGAAACTTCGAACTTCTAGACGCGTTTGATTGACACATCCTAACATTTTTACCAATTCAAATTTTATCTTTAACAAAAGTATAGCAATTTTGTTGTGTATTAGTGAAAAATATTAAAACTATAATACAGAAAATTCGGAGTAGAAATGTGCGAAAGCAAATCCATTCCCTAGTAATGTCAGCCCGTGCTCAATGTTCTGTACGTAGGTTAACAAATTAAATAAACCCCTTAAAGGTACACGGTTTTTGTAAAGAGGACACGGGCTCTGTTGTTGTTAATGTTTGCGTTTCATCGGCGTAAACTCTGCATACACCACTGAGCTCGGACTGTATACAGGCCTTCAAATCGACATTTAGATAAATCGAAAACGTATTGTCAATTTACAATAATTATTGTAATTTCCATTCTTGTGTCCATACGATATATCTTGGTGAGCTTGAGATAAAAGATACCACAGAGTCTGACACAGCTTTAATGGTATTCTAAAAATAAAGCTCTATAATAAATGTAATGACTTTGATTTTTCTATAGACAACTTCCCTTACTTATGCAGCAATATACCTTCATCACCTGTATACGGAGTTTTTGTATCTCAGTTGATTCGATACACAAGAGCATGCTCTACGAATGAACAATTTCTAGAACGAGGTAAATTATTGACAAAGAAGTTGATGAAACAAGAATACCAGGAGTCCCTTTTAAAGTCATCATTTCGTAAGTACTTTGGTCGATACCATGACCTTGTCAGCAAATACAATTTATCATTGAGTCAATTGCTGTTTGACTTTTTTCATACTAATTGTTAGTCCATTATTATTACATTGGATTGATTTTTCCGTTATTTTCCGATCATGACAGGGAGCACATGGCGGGTGTGACCGGCCGCGGTCGGCAGGGGATGCTTACTCCTCCATGGCATCTGCTCACAACTCTGACGTTTTCGAGGTTCGTGTTTGCTCTGCTCTATTTTGCATTCTTTTATGAACTTTTGATCTTTAATACTGTTCGTTATCTCCATATGTTTCATCAAACTTCCAGTCCCTCTTTTTTATAAAAATTCGAAATTTTAATGTTAAAGAACAGATTACAATTTATGAATTAATCGTAACCGAACGGAAAAATATGGTAAAAGCGGTGAATTCAAATTCTTTATCGATAACTTTCCTGACTAGTACTTATAATGCATCATACAGTACCATTATCATATGCATCAAAAGTTTGTCTCCCGGTTAATTCGATATGCAAAATAGTACAATATATTCGGACAATGTCTAAATCGCGGCAAACTATATTGACAAACAAATTGATAAAACAAGGATATCAATAGCGTTGTTTGAAGTCAACAGTTTGGAATTTTTTTGGTCGACACAACGATCTAGTCAGAAAATAAAATCTATCAATTTGTCGAATGCTGCTTCAAGTTTTTTTCAAACTAATTGATAGTTCATTATTTACTTACAGGCTGAATTGTCTACGGTTTTTTTCCATTTGCCCTATTACTCAGTAAGCACACGGCGGCTTTGACCTTGTTAGCAGGGGGTGCTTACATGTACTTATCAATGACATCAGATATGATCACGCCTGATAATTTTAAAGGTTCGTGTTTGTTCTACTCCCAATTTGAATTAGTTAAACAATGTAAGTCGATCGTGTGGCGCAGTGGTTAGAGCGCCTGCTCTAGAGTCGCGAGATAAGGAGCTGATCCTTACGTCGCGGGTTTGAATCCTACTGTAGGACTCGGAGGACTCGGAGACTTCGGATGAGACCGCATAAACCGAGGTCCCATGTCCCAGTGGGTGCTGTCATAAAAAAGATCCTTCTCTGATCTGAGTGCCGAGGATAGGTCAACATTTGCAACTAGTGGCGTTTCCATATGAGTGAGAAATTCTCGAGAGGGACGTTAAACAACAAACAAACTTAGTGAAGTATTTAGCTTGATTCGCTATCTCCATATTTTTGGTACCAACTTTATATTTTTGTGGCAGACGTATTTATCAGTAATCAACTTACTCGTATATCTGATTATATTAAGACTTCTTTAAAAAGCACTAAACATCCAAAATTGAAATACGCTGTCATATTTAAGAAAATTAAATTATATTCACATAAACCAATCCAATGAAGTAGAGAATACTGTACGTTATGCTGGAAATAAAGACATTTGACAATTACTGTTATAAGGTCTCCTCCATAAAGTGAATATACTACTAGTAAAGATTTTGTCAAAATTTCTGTATGACTAGTGAGAGCAATTTTGGGATACGGAAGAATATGCTATCGGTCATTGTTTGAAGAAATATTGAAAACTGTTCTAGAAATGCTATCTGAAAGAATATATTAACAATACTTTAAGGCAATAAAATATGAAAT